ATCAGTCCATCCGTCCCTCCACCCACTCATCCATCCATTCATCCATCCAGTTTTTACTACATCCTGGTTTTCTTCAGCCATATTTCCATTTATTCAAACTTTTCTTCATAATCGATTCTTCTTTTATTTTCTGTTTTCCTTTCCTCTGTGACTACAGCATGGTTCATAAGCTCTCAGCCCAAGGACAACAGCAGACGGTCATGGTCCAGGAGGCTGAGTGCCACAATGGAACCTAAACAGGGGCTGGAGGGCGGGGATCTGCCTTCTTGTTTGCACATTCTCATCATCTCTGACACACACACAGACCCCACCACATACATGTTCTCAGAGCGGTATCCCAGTGAAAGGCGTGGTGTGCAATGAGAGGGTCCATGGAGGTGGGGGAGGTCAGGGTGGTGGCCTCCATGGATCCCGGCTGATCCGTGCTAGAGAAATGTCTCTGATTTGCAGAGGGGGCAGCCTCCAAATGCCTTGACACCCATCCTGCATGTGGGGGTGCTCCCTGCAACTGGGAACCTGGGCCCCAAAGGGCCGTGGTGCCGTGCTGTGCAGTGTTGGGGGGTTGACCCTAGGCGGCTCCCGCAGACCTGCCCTGCCCCAGGCTCAGGCTCAGGCTGAGGCTCAGGTTCCAAGCGCCTTCCCACTCCTGCCCGGGGAGGTGGGTGGCTCCAAGGGGGCAGAGGCAGTTCCCGGGTCCCCAGACGGCCCCTCCCAGCCACAGCGGGACCAGACACCCCTCCCCCACCAGCTGAGACATTTCCAACTTGGAGATGGCTCACAGATGGAGTTTAGACAGGACTGGCGCGGGCCCAAGACAGGGCCAGGGGCCTTCCTCCCCCACCCAGCCTCAGCGCCTGCCGCCCCCTCTTATCTGCCTGTGTCTGGCACCGCCGGGGCCGTCCTGGGCCGGGCAGGCTCGGGAGGCCTGATTTTCTCAATTCCCCATTTTCCTGCAAACCCCACAGCCCACGCAGCCCTCGGCCCCTTCTCCAGGCCCGTGGTAGCAGGGTGGGGGCTGGGCTTGCTGGAGAGAGCCGTGGGGGTGGGGGCAGCCCGCACCCGGCCTCCCCGCCTGGTCTCAGGCATCGCTGCCAAGAGGGGGCCTGACTCTGTGGGCCTCAGGGGCACTGAGACCCCCCCCTTGCTGGCTGCCTGGTGGTCCTGGGCCACCCCCACCTCCTGGAAGGTCTATAGAAGCCCCTGTAAAGAGGCTGGGGCTGGGATTGGGGTGGGGCGGGGCTGGGGAGAAGCCCAGGGTCCCAGCAGCACCAGTTCCATTCCCGCTCTGCGGGGAGACCATAGGCACCCTCACCCACACCCTTTCCGCTGCAGAGACCCAGCCATCCCTCCTGCACCCTCTCAGGGAAACCGAGGCAGGGGCAGGCTGGCCGGTGGGGTGGCACAGGCCAGAGCAGCGTCTGTGCAGACCTAAGGTGCCACCTAGCCAGGGCCCGCCCCATTCTGGACCATCAGTCCCCACGCCCCCAGGACTGCCTTGTGTAGCTCCAAGGGTGGTACCAGGATGGGAGAGGGACGGCGGGAAGGATTTCTGGCCCCAGAATCAGCAGGGACAGAGGTGGGGGTGGGTCCCCAGTGTGTGTGAGGTGCCCACTCCCCTCCCTCACCCAAGGAAGGAGACATGGATGGGGTACAGATGGGAGGGAGAGACAGCAGCGCCCCCCCCCCAGCCCTGGAGCAGGAGGAAGACATCCATCATCCCGCCGGCCTCCAACCAGCCTCCCCATGCCCTGGAAAATTTCCAGGCACCAAAGACCCCTGATCCGCAGGAGGCTCACCCGGGGGTCCCAGGCCTGACCTGGCTCCAGCTGCTACCTTTGGGTCTGGAGTCCAGGCGGGCCCGGGGAGGGGGCCGCAGAGCCTGCCCCCAACTCTGCCTCCCTCAGCAGCCCCCTGCCGGGGCCAGGGCTGGACCTGGGGAGAATCTCCCGGACTCTGCCAGCTCCAACTTCCCTCCTGAGCGGTCCCGGATGGAGCACTGCACCTCCTCCAGGGAGTGCAGCATGCTTGGAGGACGGGGGGGTAGGAGGGCTGCCAGGGGGCCTGGTACTGGGGGGCTCCATCCTGGGGGCTCCCAGCCCCAGAGGAAGGCTTCCCAGGTCTCCCCACGGACTCAGCCTGGCCCTCCTGTAGCACCTGGAGCTCAGAGGGTCTCCAGGAACAGGTGGCCCAGAAGGGGCCCCGCCAGGCACCTGCTAGGCCATCCCTGCCCTTCCAGACTCAGCCCAGCACAGGGTGCCATAGGAGACGTGGGGGGCTGGGGGCTCAGCTCCGGGGAAGATGGCAGGGCATCTGCAGAAGTCCCACCTCTGCCTTGGCTCTAGAACCTTCCAGAACGGGGCAGGGTTGGGAATGCCAGGCACGGAAGGAAGGGAGTTCAGGGAGGAAGAAGGGTCCGGGGTGGCCCCCCGGGGTGTGGACTTTGCCTACACGTGAACAGTCCCTTGTGTGGGAGGCACAGATGCAGGTGCAGGTGCGAGGCTGTCCAGGTAGAGGGGGACAGCCTGAGAGGGCAGCCAGCTTGTCCGGAGGCGGGCAGGACTCCTACCTTCTGGGTGTGGGCACAGGGCGGGAAATAGGGCAGAGGGGCCTCCGCAGAGCTGGGGCGCCGGGTTGGGCTGGCTGGCTGGCAGGCCTATGGGGGTGTCCCCCAACCCAGCCCCACTGAGAACTGGGTCACAGCCCGGCCTTGCCCCTCAGCGTGGGGTGAGCCCTGCTCCTGGGGCTCCCACAGCAGCTCCAGGGAGTCCCTGCAAAGCCACGGGCAACCAAGTGGGAATGCCATGATGCAGCCCCCAGGTACCAGTACACACTGACAACCATCAGCTGGGCGCCCCGAGGGAGCCCCACGGCCCATCTGCAGGGCCAGGAGGGCAGCAGAGACCCGTCCAGTGGGAGGGGCCGGTCCTATGGGAGGGGGGCGGGGGGCTGGGGGACCACCCACCCCTGTCCTGGAGGGAGAGGCTGTCCTGAGCCCCTCACGGGCTGGGGTCCTGGCCCCCGTTGGCAGCGTGGGGGTCTCCCCTGCCCCCCTCCAGCCCCGGTTGACCTTGCACAGCCTTGACCTTCCTGGGGCTCCCCGGGCAGGGGCTTCCCAGGCACACGCACCCCCTGCCCGGTGCTGGGGATTTCTACCCCCCCCCCCACGGGAAGACCCTGTTTGTTCCCTGAGTCACCCTGTGAAATGAGAGCCTGCCCGCCCGCCCTCCGGCTCTCGGTTTCACTCTGACAGGTCGGCCATGCTCTTCCCCTGCACGCGGTGGGGGTGGGGGCGTCCGGGGGCTGGGGAGCCGCCCCTAGCTCTCCGGCCGGAGCGCCCCACAGACCGGGCGCAGGAGCAGCCGCAGACCCCCCAGATCTGCACCAAGACGCCCCCCACCCCGGGTCAGCCGCGCCCGCCGCCGCAGGCAGCCCTGGCTGTGCCCTCCCCTGCGGGTGCTGGACAGCTGGGCGGGTGGCGGAGGATGGGGCCGAGCAGGCAGGCGGCGCTGCCAGGCTGCCCACGCCGGGCCCTTCTATGGGCGCGAGGTGGCCGGAAGGCGCTCGGAGGCCCGGGCTGGAGGCGGCACCGCGGGAGGGGCAGACTCGGAGCCGGCACAGCTGTTGCCCGGTCGCCGGCTGGAGCACCCCGCACGCATCCCGTCCCCCCCGCGAAAGACGGGGTCCTCCCAAGGTGCGCACACCCTGGGTGGGGCATCCCCCGACCCCTCCCAGGGGACAGGCCCCAAGGAGCCTCTCCGAGGGGCAGTGTGGCCCGATGGCCCGCCCTGCCTCTGTGGCCCCCGCCCAGCCTCTGCTCCGGCCCGCACTCGGGTCCCCAGTGCAGCAGCCCCGGCGCGAGCACCCGACGGGGATTTGGCCCCAGGAAGGCCGAGGTGCAGCCAACCCTCCCCTCCGCCCCATACGCGGTCCCCGGCGCCTCTGCCACCTGTGCCAGCCCCGAGGACGTCACCGTGGGCTCCGTGAGGCACCATGGCCGCCAGCCAACAGCACAAGAGGCACGGCCAGAACCCCCCTTGCAGGACAGCCCAGCGGCTGCTCAGGCAGGGCCGGCACCCAGCCCTGGCACGGCGCTGGGGTCACCTCCCCCCGGGCGGCGGCCCGGCTGGGGGCACAAGAGTGTCTGCTCTGAGCCTCTCCGCTCCCGCGGGCTAGTGTGGCTCTGGATGCCTCCCCTCCCCCACACCGGGCAGCAGCCCCGTCCTGTCCTGTCCCGCGCCTCCATCCCCAGCCCGGGCTCCTCCACCCCAACAGCCAGCGCCATCCCCTCGCCCCTCTGAGCCCAGCCCGGCCGACCTCTGACCACGCCCATCTCTCCTGGGCCTGCACCTGGGCAGCTCGGCCCTCTCGGCGAGGCTCAGCCTGGGGCCTGCCCGGGACGGCTCTCCCTGGGGGTGGGACCCTCAGCCACGACCCTGGCCCCGGCGTGGGTGCCCCGTGGCTCCGTGGCGCACAGCTGCCTCCTGAGAAGTCCTCCAGCCAGGCGGGCTTTCCGCTGGCTCTGGCCGGGGCGGTCTGCGGCCCCTTTTGCAGACACCCCCACACAGCCACTGCCCCCCGGCCTCCTCACGCCCCCTCCACCGGCAACACGGGGCCTGGCGCCCCGCACCACGTCTGCTGGGATCCCAGTGGTCTCCGTCACCACGGGCTGTGGGGTCTAAGGCCCAGCGGCCCCTGTGAGACAGGCCTGTGGGGTGGCTAGGCCCGCGGCCCTCCTCACCCACCTCGCCTCTCCTCTTGCCCCCTTAGCTGTGGCCCCCACTCTGCCCATAGAAGCCCGGCCGTGCCCTGGGCCTGGGACCCCAGGCGCCGGCTGAGGCCCCTCCCTGCCCGCGAGTCTGTGCTGCAGAGGCAGGCAGACGAGGGCTCCGTGGTGGCCGTGGGGAGCGGGGCCCGGGAAGACCCCAGCCACCTGTCCGCCAGTCCCGCGGCAAGAACCGCGCCCCTGCACGCTCCAACGCCAGGTGTGGGCGGCCCCTTACCCCAGCAACTCCTCCTGCTCCTCCACGCCGGGGTCGTTCGGAGCCTCCGCCATCGGCCTGGTCCGGGCCGCCGGGCGCTGCGCCGGTTCCCTGTGTGTCCGTGGGGCTGCGGCGCGGTGCTTCCTGGGGTGGCGGGCGGCCGGGCCCCCACCTCCCGCCGGGTTTCACTTCCCCTTCCGGCTGCAGGTTGAGGTTTGGAGCCCACGGAGACTCTGGCAGGGCGTTGTTTTCTGATCTGTTGCCGCAAGCAAGCGGGGAGGAAAGAACCGAAAAACCAAGCCCATTTTCAGGAAGCGTTGAGCAAGGCGCAGGGCCTGGTTGGTGGGGTAGGGGCGAGGGCCGAGGGCCGAGGGCCAGGGGGCCGCGGCAGGGCAGGGCGGGCGGGGCTGGGGGTCCCCGGGGGGCTCCCTGGGCACTCAGACACCCAGCGCTGAGTGGAGGGTGGGCTGGGCCAGCTGCAGAGGTGAGGGCAGGGGTGGGGTGGGGAGAGGAGGGGAGCAGCCCCTGCCCCAGCCGGGGTCCAGGTCCCGCCAGCCACCAGGCCGGCTGCCCACGCGGAAGCAGAGTGCAGAGGAAGCAGGCTGGGTGCTGTGGTTTGAACATCTGTCCCCCAGATCCAGCTCCGCAGGGCGCTGGGGACCCCAGGCTGCTCCTGGGCCCCTGCCGGCAGCCCCGGCGGCCATCCTCGCTTGTGTGCAGGGGCTGTCACCCCTTGTCCTCGCGGGCTATTCGGACCTCTTTGGAGGGAGTCCCCCCTCCCCTGAGGCCGAGGCCCATCTCCTGTGGGCGCCCACAGAACCCGGCGGGGCCTCCACCCAGAGCCTCAGGGCCACGGCCTTGGGCACCCCGTAAATGCTCCCATGTCCCACACATCGCGTGTCTTCCCCCGCGCTGCCTGGCTCCCTTTCCTATTCCCTGCCACTGGGCAGCTGCCTCCTCTCTGGGGGGCTGCCCCGGCCGGCGTTGGCGGACGCAGGGCTGGATCGGGGCCCTTTGCCACCCCCCAGCTGCAGGAGTGGCTGGACAGGTGCACTGGGGTCGTGAGGAGGGATGGCGGCCGTGGGCCCGGACCCCAGAGCTGGGGGGCTGCGGCGTGATGGGGCAGCCCCAGAGGTGACAGAGGCTGTCTCGGCCAAGTCCCTCAACACAGGGGTTGGGAAGGAGCAGGCCCCGCGCCATCTTGCCATCCCCTGGCCAGTGGGCAGACCTGGGGGCTACCACTGGGAAGGACTTGCAGGGATCCCCTCCCCCCCAGGCAAAGAGCAGGGCAGAGAGCCCCCCCCGGGGGGCAGGGAAGGCTGCAGGTGCCAAGGTGTCACCCGTCAGGACTCGGCTACTTGGGAGGCAGCAAGCCCCACCCCCGCCCGCACACCTGAGGGGGGGTCCCCACCCAGTGAGTGCCCGGAAGCCTGGCCTGGCCCTCCTGCCTCCTCCTGTGTGCCCTCCCAGGAGCACCCTGGGGCCTGGCGGGCAGAGCAGAGGCCCGGGCGAGTGGCCCTGGGCCCACATCTGAGACCATCCCAGGGTTGAAGGTGTCTCACTGCCAGGCCAGGTGCATCCGCATGGGGGGGCTGGGCCCCTGCACCCCACCATATCAGGGGACCTCGTCGGCGGTTGTCCTGCCTGGCCCAACCACCCTCGGGTCCTTCCTCCTGGCTGGGAAGCTCTAGGCCACGCCAGGAAGAGGGAGGCAGATGGCGGCCTACACCTGTCCTAAAAGTCCCGAGAGCCACTGCCCGGAGGCTGGACCTGCGGCCTCATTTCCAGGGGCCAAAGCAAAAGGAGAACGCAAGACTCTCTGCTTCACACACTACGGGTTTCAGGAGGGAGACACAGGGCATGAAACCACACTCGGGGCGCCGGGCCTGCCCGAGGACAAAACGCAATCCACAGGCCTGGGGTCAAGGGGCGACCCAGCCCAGGGCCCTCGGAGGGCGTGTCCCCGCCCTCTGCCTGTCCCCATCCTCCACGGCCGGCCGGGGGCAGGGCCCAGGCCCCCGTTGTGTGCGTGCTGTCACCCCAAACTCCTGTCTTGCAGCCCTAACCCCCAGGCCCTCGGGACGTGACCGTATTTGGAAGCATGGCTGTTGCAGACGGCGCTGGTTAGAGTGAGGTCACGGCGCCGCCGGTGGGGGCAGGGGACAACTGTGTCCTTACTAAAAGAGGAAATGTGGTCACACACGCACGCACACAGGAAGGACACGCATGACGACAAAGGCAGGGGTCAGGGTGACACCGGAGATGGGCAGCCAGGCCCCGGTGCCGGGGAGGCCTGGGAAGGAGCGGCCCTGCCCACACGTGGCCCGCAGAGGCGGGGGTGGGGGGGGAGCGACCGTCTGCAGTTCCCCGCATGGCACCTGCCCTGGCCACAGGACACCAACAGGGCAAACAGGCCCCAGCCCCTTCCGGGGCTGCAGCGTGGGGGGGCCCTCCCTGGCTGCAGGAGCACCAGGGGCTGCGGGACAGGCTTTGGGGGGCCCCGTGGAGGGGGCTCTGCGGGCCCGGATGCAGCCGCCCCTCCCCCGCCCTGGCAGACGAGCACCCCCCCCTCGGACCACAGAGGGAAGCGAAGCCAGAGCCAGGCCTGAGCCCCTCCCTGCGCACACACTCCTCCCCCCACCGTCGTCCCAGGCGCAAACCACGCACCCTCCCAGACACACACCTGGCCCTGCCCTCCTCACCCCTGCTCCCACCTCCAGCCTGGCCCTGCCGGAGTGGGCAGGGCGACATTCCCGGGGGAATCAGGGGCAGCCCCCGTGCGTCTGAGAGCCTGTGGCCCCCCGCCAGGCGGCAGGCGTCTGGGAACAGACCCTTCCTCCCAGGGGCTGAGAGTGGCCAAGGGGCAGGCGCGCGGCCCTTCGCTGGCTTGGGGGCGCTCGATCCCGAAACGCCTCGGGAGGCACGTGGGGCTGGGGCCCTGTCGAGTGCGGCACCTGTCTCCAAGTCTGGCGCAGGGTCCAGCAAGCACCGGGGACAAGCGGCCCACCGAGTCAGGCGATGATGAGTCCGTGGGGAGCAGAGGGCGCTGGGTTCTGTGCCCGGCGGGCGGGGCTGGGGGGCTTCGGGGGCTCCCTGGGCACTGCCGTGTCTGTGCGCTGCCACCCCCGGCCTGAGTGGAGGGTGGGCTGGGCCAGGTGCAGAGGTGAGGGCAGGGGTGGGGTCGGGAGAGGAGGGAGCAGCCCTTGCCCTGCAGGCCGGGCGCCCGCCCAGAAGCAGAGCGTGGAGGAAGCAGGCTGGGTGCAGTGGCTTGCACACCTGTCCCGCAAATCCAGCTGTTGGCACCTCGGGCCGGAGTGATGGTGCAAAGAGGCAGGTCCCCCGGGAGGTGACCGTGCGGGGGCCCCGCCTCACCCCCGGGGACGGGGGAGGTGACCTCGTAAACGGGCTCCAGGGACCTGCAGGGCCACCCGGAGCTCCTGCCTCTGTGCAGACGTCACGGCCAGGACCCGGTGGGGCGCAGTGGCCCTCGCCAATCTCAGGGGTGTCGCCACGGCAACACAGACAGACGGCGGCAGGGGGGCCACAGGGCCTCTTCCGGGACATGGTCTTGTCCACGGGCAAGTGGGGACCCCGCACCTGGGGAGGACACCCCTGAGATCGAAGGGTGCTCCTTGGTGGCCTCGGAGTCCTGGTAGGTTGGACCCCCGGGGAGGGCAGCGTAGGGCCGGCATGGGCTGGGTGAGGCTGGGGTTCGGGAGGGGCGCTGCCTGCAGGCCGCACGGTGGAGCCCAGGACGGACTCTGTGAGTCCAGCGTGGCCACGGCATCCTCCAGAACCTCGGCGGAACAGCCACGGGGACGCGGGGGCCACAGCCAGTGGTGCGGGGGCAGGGTCACCACCAGCCAGGCTGCCGGGCGTCCGCGGTGTGGCTCTTCCAGGGCAGCAGGATGGGCCGGGGAAGGGTGGGTGCAGCCACGGGCCTGCAGGGGAGGGCGGCGTGGCGGGCAGAGGGAAGGGTGTGCTGAGGGTCCACGGGGCTGGACAGGGACGTGGCCTGGGGACCTCCATGCGCTGAGTCTGTAGCCTAAACACACACTCGCTGGACCTGGGCATGTGGCCGTGTTTGGGGATCCAGCTTTCAGAGAAGGAATTAGGTTAAAATGAGGTCCCCAGCGTGGGCCCTCGTCCCACGGGACTGCTGTATTTATAAGAGGAGCAGAGCAGGGCACGGGCACACACGTAGAACCAACCATGGGAGGACACAGGGAGAAAGGTGGCCATCCGGCAGGCAGCCAGGGAGAGAGGCCCTGCGACCCCTGACCTCCGCCTGCTAGCCGCAGGTCGGAGAGAACCAACCTGTGATTGAAGTGGCCTCGTTCTCACCGCAGCCCAATTCTCAGGTGGGGGCTGGGTATGGGGCCATCCTGGGCCCCCAGGCTCCTCCTCCCTGAGCACCTGAGTCCCAGCCGGTCCTCTGTGCCCAGCTGGCAGGGGGAGAGTGAGACCACGAGGACAGCAGGGGGCGCTTCGGGGGCCAGGCCTGAGTGCCCAGATGCATCTGCCTGCAAGGTGTGTGCACCTGTCTGTCAGGTGTGTGCACCTGTCTGTCAGGTGTGTGTACCTGTCTGCCAGGTGTGTGCATCTGTCTGCCAGGTGTGTGCCCCAGTGAGTCACTCCCGTGGGCGCACAGGTGCTTGGCGGGTTTGCCCCGGGGACCCAGGCCCTGGGGTGGTGCGTGTGACTCACATGTGACCCCCTCCCACGGGCTGTGGCTGCCCCTAAGCTGGGAACCCGGCCTGGGCCCTTCCCCGAGAGCAAAGGTCGGAGAGAGAGAGAAGTCCAACAACGGGGGCCGGGCGGGTAGGACAGTGGCCAGGACGGGGCCAAGCCCGGGTGCATCCCAGGCAGGGTGAGCCCGCCGAGAGGTTGGCAAGTGGAGGGTGGGGGAGCTGACAGACTGGGGACAAGTGAGGCCGCTTGGGGGGCGGTGAAGGGCAAGGGGGCCCTGTGGGCAGACGCTCCCTCTGGAAGTTTCCCCGAGGAGAGGACAGGCCAAGGGTACAGCCGCGTGGTCAGAGAGCCTGGGTGCTGTCCCGGCTGCTTGGTGGGGTCAGAGACCTGCATGGAGGCCAGGAGGACGTGTGGGCCACTCTGGGAGCAGGGGTGGTGTCGTTGGGTTCACCCTGTGACCTCTGGCTTGAAGTCGGGGAGCCCGTGTAGTATGGGGTGGGAGGGGAGAGATTGGGGGCCTGTCGGCAGGCGGAGGGGGCATTGGGTGGCAGGACCAGGCCGGACCCCTGTCTGCCCTGCCCGGCTCCTTCCCGGCCCTCGGCAGCCGGCTGGGGCCATGCGTGAGCCTGGCCCGAGGCCCAGACAGTCCTGCGGAGCCAGGTGGGGTGGGGGATGGGGGAAACAGCAGGAGCCCAGGGGTGCAGGCAGGGCCCCGGGGGCGGAAGTTTCCAGGCACGCGACAGGCCGGGGAGCAGCTGCCCTCCCGAGGCCGGGCTCTCCCGGGGCCACCTTGGGACTGGCCCACGCAGAGTCCGTGCAGGGGCATCTTTTGCAATGAGAGACGAGGGGCGTGGGGGGCAGAGACCAGGACGGGGGACCCTGCGGCTGCCTGTGCCGTCCAGGGCCAAGGTGCTTGCGGGGGGAGGGCAGGGCGCAGCCAGCGCAGGGACAAGGGCGCACTCGGGTGACGGTGGCAGAGGACACGTGCCCCGTTCTCACCGGGGTCCCCCGCCCTGCACACCAGGCCCCAACTCCGTGGCGTTTCCCTACCCCTGGCGGTGCAGGGCAGGGGTGCAGGGGTGGGTACCAAACGAACGAGCAAACCAGCCAGTGGCAACGCCAGGAAGGAACGGGACAGCCATGGAGGCGGTGGCCCTGGAGGGACGAGGGGCTCTGGAGAGGCCTCCCAGGGGAGTGACCGGCCCCGAAGGGTGAGCAGGAGGCAGCCGCGTGGGCGGCCTGGCGCTGACTTCCGGCGGCCGGGTGGTCCCAGGGCCGAGTGGGCCGCGCTGGTGGTCCTGGCGTGGGAGCGGCCCACGGCCGGCCCCTGCACGGCCACCGGCTGGTCGGAGCTGAGGCTGGGGCTGCCGGCGACAGCCAGAGGCCGGAGGAAGGGCGAGCGGGGGCCGGTGAGGGGCAGACAAAGCCGGCACTTGGGGACCCAAAGGACCAGAGCTGGAGGGGCACCCAGTGAGGCTCGGTCCCCACAGGCCGGGTGGAGCTGGGCAGGCCGGCCACACACCCGCCCGCCAGGGTCCAGGCGGCAGAGTGGCGTCTCTGTGACCTCTGGGGGCACCCAGCCGCGTCCCCCCGCCAGCCCCCGGCGCCCACCCGGGGCCTCCCACACACTCCTGGCGCCTTTCTGCCCCGCCAGCCCCGATGACATCCTCCCCGGCGACTCATGTTGTTTTTTCACGTCATCTATTTTTGCTTAAGAACGTTATTGTTCTAGCGTTGGGAGAAAAGTTCAGCTTTTGGGGGTAAGTGATGTTGAGCTCCCAGAAAAGTCTCAAGAGCAGAAGTGGTGGGGACTCCACTGCACATGGCTCCCCCGTCTCTCTGTCTCTCTCTTCGCCTGTCTCTGTGTCTCTGTGTCTCCGTCCCTCCCCCCTCCTCCCTGCGCGGTCTGTTTCCCAAAGGCGCAGCTGCCCTCCTGCCCAAGGCCGCGTCACTGCCAGCATCAAAACACTTTTATCTAATCTTCCAGTCCCTGTCCTTGGGGCCTGCTCCCGGCATTTTATTTATTGCTTTGTTTGTGCTTCAGAGCTTTCCAGCATCACGGGACACTTCAAGGGCTCTCCCGGTGCAACCCCCCTCCCCTGCCCGCCCTCCATCCGCCATCCATGGGTGCTTTCAAGGGAGCCCTGCTCCCCCCAGTGGGGAAGGGCCCGTGGGCGCCTCCGGCGAGCCCCTCCCTGGCGGGGTCTCTGCAGCCCCCAGCCCCTGCCCGGGTCTCAGGCAGCCACAGCTTCAAACGAGCCCCCAAGGGCTTCTTCCTCTCCCTCCCTCCTCAGCCACAGCCAGGACAGGGCAACCTGGGGCTTGGTGGCTGTGTCCCCTTCCCGGCCAGCTCTGCGAGGTCCACAGGGTGCCCACACCCCTGCAGGCGCCTGTCCCCTTTGCAGGGCCAGCTCGGGCTCCCCGACCCCCCAGCCACCGAGGCCTGGGACCTGCTGTCCAGTATTACCCCCACCCCCCACACTGTGACCACGGCTGCCACCCCAACCCCTGCCTGGCTCCACCCTGCTGGGCCTTTCTAGAACGCAGAGCTGGCCAGGACGCCCCATGCTGGGCCCTGGCTGCCTGAGTCACAGTGTGGCCCATCCAGCCTCCACTGCCTCTGTTGCCTCATTCATTCTTTTTTTTTTTTTTTGGAGGCACAGTCTCTCTCTGTTGCCCAGGCTAGAGTGAGTGCCATGGTGTCAGCCTCGCTCACAGCAACCTCAAACTCCTGGGCTCAAGCGATCCTCTTGCCTCAGGCTCCCGAGTAGCTGGGACTACAGGCATGCGCCACCATGCCCGGCTAATTTTTTCTATATATATTAGTTGGCCAGTTAATTTCTTGCTCAGGGTGGTCTCGAACTCCTAAGCTCAAACGATCCACCCGCCTCGGCCTCCCAGAGTGCTGGGACTACAAGTGTGAGCCACCGCGCCCGGCCTTCATTCATTTGTTCATTCATTCACTGGAAGAGGCGACAAAGCCCCCAACCTCCACTACCCAGCCTCCGCTCTGGGCCTCTACCCGTTCTGACCCTGCCACCCCAGAACCGCCGTCTGGGATTTTGCGTTGACATTTCCTTGCTTGGAAGAAACAAAAGGCAGCTTTCCCACGGGCTGGGTCTGGCTAACCCTGGCGGAGGGGAGCCGGGTCTGGTGTCCCTGCCTGTCCCTTCTGATGCCCTCGTGCCCCTGGCTTAGAGTCCTGCCCCTGTCCCCAGTGGGCACCGTCCCTGGAGACCTGCTGTTCACCCCGCGGGGCCACAACGAGGCCCCCCTGCCGCCGGCTGGTGCTCGGGCCACACCACGGGCTGCCCCCCGAATGCACCGGCCACGTGGCCCGCTCAGCTCTGCACGGGACGCAGCCGGCCTGCAGCGTGCCCGTCCCTGAACACTCGGCGCCCGGCCCAGGCCGGTCACGGGCCCCACTGCCCCGTGTCTCCACAGCCCTGCCCCACGCACGTGGCTGGGCCTTCCCCGCGGCAGCCGGAGCAGGCCGCAGGGGCCCACGGCGGAAAGGCCGGGTTGGGGACTCCAGCTGCAGGCCCCCCAGCTGCAGGAAGGACAGACCGGATCCAGGGCTGGGGGGCGGGGGGGGGGCATAGGTACACCGTGAAGGCCGTGCTGAGCACCGGAGGACATCAGTCCCCCCAGGCAGCCCAAGGCTGAAGTGCAGCTGTTCTTCCTGCCGCCAGCCCCGAAGATCAATCGCGGGGACCTCCGGAGAACAAGGACGGGGCTGGCAGCTTCCCCGTCACGGATCTGAGCCACGCGGCCTTGGCGGCCCCTGCGTCATCCTTCACGGAGGGGCCGATAGCCCGGCCTTGCTGTGACGGGCCTCATCCGGGCCCGCGGGCACAGGTCTTTGATGGTGCCGTGGGGGCTGGGGTCTCGGGCCAGCTGGAAACGAGACTCGAGACCCCACAGGGCCCAGTTAGGGGCCAGGTTGGGCCCGAGAACACAAACCCCAGCCACTGCCCGGTGGGCACAGATGCCCTTGGGAGGACCCTAGGGGCCCTTGTCGGGGGGTCTGGGGTCTGAGGCAGCTGGGAGGTCCGGAGCCCGGCTGCAAAGCCAAGGGCCTGAGCCTGCCTGGTGCTCTGTGTCCCCAGTGTGGTGGCACCGAGGACAGGAGTCGTGCCAGCCCCAAGCTCCACACTGGCCCCCAGCCTGGCACTGCCAGCCGGGCCCTTCCCCAACTCGGGCCTCGGAGCCCAGGCCAGGGGCAGATGTGGACAGGCAGGGTGACCCAGGGCGCGGGTGGCCCGGGAGTGGCACGTGGCACAGCAGCCTGGGCCACCACGTGGGCTCCCGACTGCCAGCCTCGGGCTGGGTTTCTGCAGAGGAGTCGGGGCTAGACTGGCGTCCCCGGGCGCGGGTCTCCGGACCCTTGTGCAGAGAGGGGCATGAGCTCATCCCTCCCGGCCCCGAGGGGCTGGTGCGTCTGTCCGGGCGAGCCCTGGCGCACCTGGGGCCTGACCCCGGCACAGCAGCGCACGGCGGGCCTTCCTGGGCTGCCCTGGAGCCCCCAGCCCCGGGCCCCTCCGGCTCCCCGGCTGCTGACCACAGCGCCGGCTGCAGGGAGGTGGCCAGGGAGGCGCCGGGCAGAGCCAGACCAGACAAGTCAGAGGATTCCAATCTTTATTGACAGCGGAGCTGTGGCCGGGCCTCCCCTCCCCGCCCGTTCTGCTGGGGGGCAGGGGCGGCCTAGGACTCGGACTCGAACATCTTCTTCCTGCCCTCCATGCCCGACTTCTCCTCGATGTTCTTCCTCCAGTCGCCCACGTCACGCAGGTCCCGCTCCTGGGGGCCGGCGGAGGGCTCAGCGCACCCAACGCCCCAGCCTCAGTTTCCCCCAGACGCAGGCAGGGGAGTCCCCCCAGCCCCCCCAGCCCGCCCCACCGCCCCACGGGGCCCCGGGGGCGCACCTTCTCCGTGTCCTCCTTCTTGACCTGCTTCAGGTTGGCCCGCAGGTCCATGCACACCTTGTGCTTGGAGCCCAGCAGGGCCTTGAGCATGGCGTCGGCCGACATGCGCACCCGGCGCAGCGGCGGCCGCTTGAACTTGCCGCGCAGGTCAAACAGCTTCTGGTTCATGTCCTCCAGCTGCGGGGCAGGCGGGGCGGTGGGGGAGCCGTGGGCACCTAGGCGCGGGGCGGCCCGGCCCCCGACACCTGCCCTCACCTCCTCGCCCTGCCCCTCACCTCCCCACCTCCTCACCCTGTCCCTCACCTCCTCACCTCCTCACCCTGCCCCTCACCTCCTCACCTCCTCACCCTGTCCCTCACCTCCTCACCTCCTCACCCTGTCCCTCACCTCCTCACCTCCTCGCCCTGTCCCTCACCTCCTCACCTCCTCACCCTGCCCCTCACCTCCTCACCTCCTCACCCCTCACCACACCCGTCATCTCCTCACCTCCTCACCTCTTCACCCTGCCCCTCACCTCCTCACCTCCTTGCCACACCCTTCATCTCCTCAGCTGCACCCCTCACCTCTCCCATCGGCCACCCCTGCACCTCCCACCCCCGCCCCCCCTCACCTCCCCGGCCCCGCCCTCCCTCCCGCCCACGCCCTCACCCCCGCCCGCCCTCCCTCCCGCCCCGCCCCTCACCTCCTTGCCACTCTTCTGCACTTTGACCTCCATGTCGTACCTCTCCTCCTCGGCCACGTCGATCTTGGCGTGCAGCTGTTTGCAGAGCTCCTGGGGGCGGGCGCAGGGGGTGGGTGGCTGTCCCCACACCGCACGGCCACCGTCCCCCGCCCCCCCGCCCTACCCCCCGTGTGTCTCTGGCCACGTGGGGAGACCGAGGCAGCGGCAGGCCGGGGCGGTACCTGCACCTCGGCCATGGAGCCGGGGATGTGCAGCGGCGGGCAGTGCTCCGCCAGGTAGTTCTCCTTCTCGGCCTCGCGGCGGCTCTCCTCCTTCTCCAGCTCCGTGGCCGCGATCTGCAGCATCACGCTCTGCGGGGCGCAGGGGCGCAGGGGGGTGAGGGGCCGGGCGCCGCCCCGCCCTCGGGCCCCCTCCCCCCAGCGAGCCCGCGCCTACCTTGAGGTGCTGCCGGCGGGCCGTGATGGCCCTGTTGCGCTTCTGCAGGGCGGGGGGGAGGGCAGAGTCAGGGCGCGGCCGGGGGACCCCCACCCCGCACCCTCCATGAACTCCCCACCCCCACGCCAGGGGCCCGGCCCGCCCGGCCCTGCCGCAGACACGGTGCCTGCTGGCGGGTGGCACTTCGCCCAGGTGACACCAGGGGTTGGACGGGCTGGGCTGGGGCCTCAGGGGCAGTGGATGGGGGCCGTGGGGTGAGGCCCGGGACGCGGAAGCCAGAAAGAAGAAGAGACTGGCCGCTGTGACCAGGCCGCAGCCTCAGTCCCCTGCCCCACAGGCAGGCCCCAGACGGCCACTTCCTCTTGCAGCAGCCTTGGGACACTTTCACAGCCGTCTTGGGACACGTTCACGGTGGGGGCTGGGCCGTCTTCCCTGGGCCTCAGGGCTTTGCGGTACTCTGACCTCTGACCTGCCCATCCCCCACCGTGTGTCCTGCCCCCCCCACCCAAGCAGGTACTCACCTCATCGCTGTGCCGGGAGGGGGGACACAGGGAGGGGGAGAGAGAAGAGAGAGGTAAGCGCCACGGTCGGGGACAGACAGCCGTGTGGGTGACCGCGGGGAGGGGACGCGGGGACACGCCAGGGACCACTTACTCTCCCATCCTGAGGTCCTGCGCGGAGAGCCTGTGTAAGGAAAGGCAGAGGCGTCGCCGTGGCGAGGGGAACAGGCCTCCTGGCCACCAGCTCTCCCTGCCCTGCGTCCACCCCCGACCTCCTCAAGGGCAGTGATGTCTTGGGAACCCCCCACCCCCCGCCGGGGTGAGAAGTAAGACGAGAAAGTGTTCCCAAAATGTCCCAGGCGGGGCCTGAGGACCTGCAGCTGTCCCCGAGGGAGGGAGGGAGGGACGGGCCAGGGCAGGTGGCCTCCGCGACGCTGCTATTTTCGTCTCTGCTCCTTTGGCGTCGGGCCTAAGGCCAGTAAGAAAATCGCTCCCCACTTGGGCCGGGGGACTCAGGTCCTAGGGTGGCGTGACCCGAAAAACTCCTTCCAGGGTCCCCAGAGGTGGGGCCTGGCGGTAGGGTGCACGCCCGGGACCCCCGGTGCCCCCAGCCGCCCCCGAGTCCACCTTTCCCTCCAGCCCTAAGAGACCCCCAGAGAGGGCTCCGGCAGCAGCCCCCGGGCCCTTTCCCGGGAAGCCCCCTGCGAGCTAGCGGAGCATGGCCTGTCCCCGGCCTCGGCCGGCCCGGCTGGCCTCACCTGGAGCAGGGGTGGAGGTGCTGGGCGTGAGGTCGGTCGGCAGAGGCGAGCTGGCCGGGTGGGCCCGGGGCGGGGTATAAATGTCCTGCCCCGGGCCGGGCCCCTGCTCGGAAAGGGCATGGAGCCCTCCTCAGACCAATGGGGGCCCAGACAGCCGAGAGGCCTCCCCACCTGCCCGGCCGCGTGCTGCCGTCCAGGCCAAGAAGTCTTGGGGGGGCGCGGCTGGGTGGCTCTATTTAGGGACCGGTGACGAGCCCGAGATGCCTCCCTGGTCCTTGCAAGGAGCCGGGGACAGCTGCACGGGCCCTGCCACTCGCCCCACAGGGGCTCCCGGCTCGGGGCGGGGAGGTCATGCCTCGAGGCCCGTCCAAGTCGGCGTCCAGCCTGCCTCCTGGCTCGGCCACCGATACTCTCTGCTCCTGGCGACGGCAGCAGCCTCTCCCTGCTGGGCCCTGCTGTCAGCTGTCCCCTCCACCCCGTCGGCAAGCCCGTCCCGGGTCAGGCCCGGACCCCCAAACACGGCCTCCCGGCCTGGGCAGCCTGAGCCTGTCTCCCGGCTGGGAGCAGGGGCGGGGGTGGGGCCAGCCTGCCCCGACCCCTTCACCTGGGCGGCTTCACCTGGGCAGCTCAGACACCTCCTTGCACCCCAGGGCATTGTCACCGCCCGCCTGGGAGCCTCTCTCTGACTCACCGGGGCTCCGGCCGCCTGGCTGCCCCCCCCCTGCCCCCAGGGGCCCCACCCTGGAGAGGCACCCGGGCCGTCCCTTGTCACCCTCTCCCGGGGCTCTGGCCCCACCCTGCCTGCTCCGAGGCCACAAGAACGGTCAGAGGAGACCCGCGGTGGAGGAGCCCAGATGCCTGGGGACGGGAGGCGTCGGCCAGGGCTGCACCCCCAAAGCCCCAGCTTCTTCCGAAGGTGTCCACTGCCCCCTGCTGTTCACACGGGGAGGCCCGGCAGCCCGGCCTCCGAAGGCAGTAGGGTCCCTCCCCCACACTGTGCCCGGCTGCAGCCCACCTCCCGCCTCTCCCTCGGGGGCCCCCTCCACCCAGGGCCCGGCCCCAGCCAGAATCTGCGGGGCCTGGGTCTGGACAGGGGCCACCACGCTGAGGACGGAGCCCCGGCCCTGCGTCCCAGTCCCCAAGGGCTGCAGCAGTACGCACACGGCAGGGAGAGGCGTTTATTGCAGCCCGGACAGTGCCCACAGCTCAGCCCGGGGAGACCGAGGCGCGGGGTGCTCTCAGGAGTGAGGCAGGGGCAGGCGCAGGCGGGGCTGCGGGGCCAGCGTGCGGTCCACCTCCCCGGCGGGCTGCAGGCGGTGCCACTGGGCCACGGGCCGCCGTGCGTGGGCCAGCGCGTCTGCCCAGTGCTGCAGGGGCTGCCCGGAGGCGTGGGCACCCAGCAGCACCTTGCCCACGGGCTCGGCACGGAGCTGCGGGCCCCGGGCCCAGACAGCCAGCACCAGGTCCGCACTCTGGGTGGGGGCAGGCCGGGGCGGGAGAGGAAGGCTGTGGTCAGTTCGGGCCGGCGGGGCCCCCCCACCCCACCCCCGCCTTGCTCCCAGTGCCCACCTGGACCTGGCTGACGGGCAGGAGGAAGGTGAAGGCCTCGTTGAAGTAGGGGCTGGCAGAGCCCTTCCTGGCAGACGTCCTCCTCTTCTTCCACCTCCTCTGGCCCAGCATGAGCTGGACCTTCACGTAGAGCTCTGGGCAGGTGAGACGGGACAGAGGGGGTTCCAGGCCCCAGGGCTGAGCAGGGGCCCCAGCCCTCTGTCCGCCGGCCGGGCGGGAGCTGCTCTCACCTGTCGGCCCCGGACGCAGGCCCCGGGCCTCCAGCACCGCCACGCACAGCCGGCCCGCGCCGGGCACGTACCGCAGAGACACGCACAGCTCCCCCAAAAGCTCGGGCTGCGGGCGGCAGGGGGCTCAGCCCGGCAGGGCCCCGAGCGGGGCGTCAGGTCTCGGCCTCCCCGGCGGCAATGGGGCAGGGTCCCTGCGGGCCGCAGGTCCCCGGGCTGGAGCATGGCCACCAGCACTCACCTGGGCGGTGCCCGGCGGGCCCAGCTGGAACCAGCGCTCCAGGACGTGCTGCAGGTCCTCGGTGCCCAGGGCCAGGCTGAGCGCGCCCAGGGGCTCGTGCCCGGAGAAGCGCTTGAAGTCCAGCAGCTGCACCTGCAGGGTGGCCCCGGGCAGCTCCGCCGGCGGGACCTGAGGGTGGCCTGTGAGCCGGGAGCGCACCCCGCCCCGCCCGGGCCCTCCCGCCGCGGACTCACCAGGAAGCAGCAGGTTTCCTCGAACTCGGGGCAGAGCACGCCGCGGTGTACCTTCGTCTCATGCCAGCGCCCGGGCTGGGTGGAGACACTCACGCGGGCGTAGGGGTCCGCCGTGCCCGCCGCCTTCAGGTCAGCCGCCTGCTTCAGCCTCACCCTGATCTGGGGATCCCGGGGAGGGGAGGGCTCGGAGCAGGGCTCTCCCCCGGCAGCCCCCCAACACCCCGGGCACAGCGTTTGCCCTCCACGCCTCACCCCTCCGGAAACCTGAGGAGCCGCAGGGCCTGCGAGGTGGGGCCCCCCTCACCTCCTGGCTCCCACGGTCATACTCCAGGGCCAGCTGCAGGCGCCCCCACTGCTGGGGCTCCCCAGGACCGCACCCCAGGGTGTCCACATCCGGCTGCACCTGGGGTGGGGGGTGAGGGGGACACGGCCCCCTTCAGAGCTAGGTTGGCAGCTCCCTGAAGGGCCAGGCCACCGAAGGGTTCACAGCCTCAGCGTAGCTCTGCCAGACCAGCCAGCGCTGCCCCAAGCACGGTGTCTCTTGTACCACTACTTCTCTAGAACCCGGTGTGGCTCCCCATGCCCCATGGACAAACCTCTGCCTCTTTTGCTGCTTCCCCTGCCAGGAAGGCCCCTCCTGTGCCTGCCCCTGGGGAGGCCCGGCTGTCCCTGCCTGGGCTGAGCTCACCCCGACCGACCGACCGCCCGACCGCCCTAAGCTGCCCTGAGCTCCAGAGCCGGGGCCTTGAGCTGCCCACCCTGCTCCTCACCGGGCACGGGGTGGTGGTGCTGTGTGCACGGCCCAGGCCCACCGCCTCCTTCTCTCTGGGCTCCTTCCTGCGCCGGCGGCGGCGGTGGCAGCAGCGGCAGATGGCACAGAGGATGCAGGAGGCAACAAGGACTCCAGCGGCAAGGGTGACGGCGGCGAGTGCCCAGTGGGGCCCTGGGGACGGGGGCTGAGATGCCTCTGTGGACGGAGCCCCTGTTCGGCTGCACCTCCACCCCGCCGCCCTCCGGTCCTCCCAGGGGCCCCGAAACTCACAGGGCGTCCTGGCAACAAGGTCCGGAACGAGCCCAGGCCCCGCCGTAGTGCCAGCCGGGGCCGGGGTGCTGTGGGCGTCGGCTGGGTGCCCCATCTTCCCTGCCTGCCGGGACGGCCAGGGAGGCGGGGTCACCTGGGGGGATGGCCCCAGGGCCCTGCCCACTGCCCCGTCCGCTGGGCGGGAGGCAGACCGGGGTGGCCAGGGGTGCATGTTCAGAGTGGCTGGAGGCTCAGCCGAAGCACCAGCTTGACCCACGCAGGCCCGGCCTCCCAGCCTCCCAGCCTCCTGGCCGCCTCCCCTCGGCCCCCAGCCCCAGCCCAGCAGGCCAGGCCCGGACAGCCCATGTACCCTCCTGCACAGCCCGTGCGCCCTCCTGCACTCAGAGCACCCCCTTCATTGCGGGGAGCCCCCTTCTTCAACCCCTCTCTCCTGGATCCTGGGCCCTGCCTGGGGGATCCCCTCTCATCGCTGGGGGGTCCCATGTCACTGGGGGCCCGTCACATCCCTGCCACACCCCGGGCCCATTGCCGTTGCCAGCCACATAGGTGGAGCATGTTCACGGAGGGCCAGCCCAGGAGCCACGTGGGAGCGTGAGGCCGGGCTCAGTGGGGCATGGGGGGAGGGGCGCTGGTGGGGGAGGGGTGCTGGTGGGGGAGGGGCGCTGGGGTGCCGGCTGTGGGGCCAGGTCCAGGGCCCGGCGAAAGCTCCTCTAGGCAAGCCCAGGCCCAGCTGCTGGTGCACTCCTGGCCGGGACGCAGGGCCAGCAGCACCTGGGGACCAGGGCCGGGTGGGGGCAGGCAGGGCAGGGCGGAGCCAGGGGCAGCCAGAACATTCCTCCAGACTGACTCAGTGCCACCCAGGCTTGCTAGCTGCCTGCTGGGCCACCCTTTGACATACAGTGGGAAGGAGGGCGGGAGACTCACACCACACCCGCCTGGGGCCTGGGACGGGAGCTCACCTGGCCGGGCTGGCTCCTCCCACCCGCAGGCAGGGGCGAGGTGCCTACCTGGGCTGGGTGCCCCTCTTCCCTGCCTCCTCCTGCAGGGGCATTGGCCGGGGGTCTGTGCTCCTCCAGCACGGGGTCTCCCCCCTTTGCCCGCGAGAACCTGCGATCCGCCCGGACCGGGGCCACACCCGAACCCCCGAACTCCCGTGTGGGCAGAACACGGAGAGGGAGGGAGGGACCCTCACACACACAGCATCGCCACCCACACCCCCCACTGGGGAGGCAGCTCCCGCCCCAGAGCCCACCCAAGCCCTGTGTTGGGAGGAGGGGGCCTCGGCCCAAAGCGGGGAGGGGTGCCCGGTCCCAGCAACCTGCAGACCAGCCCGCCCGCCCACCCACGAGGGCCCCATGCCCGTTGTCCCGAGCGTCGTTGTCCCGAGGTAGCGCCACGGTCCCTGTTTAAGGGGAGCAGACTGAGCCTGGGGGCCCCGTGATGTGACCCCTGACCCTCACTCGGGATTTAAAGTGAACTTTTCCTTTCTGAAATAATCAGAGCCTGCCAGTGTTCTGGGGTTAAAGTAGCTTCATTCAAGATTTTTATCGTTGAGAACTCGGGGTCAGTTCCCGAGTGCCTGTTCCACAGTGCCTGTGCGTGTGCACGCATGTCTGTGCGCGTGCAAGCGTGTCTCTGTGTGTGTGAGCATGTCTGTGTGTGCAAGTGTGTCTCTGTGTGTGCAAACATGTCTCTGTGTGTGCAAGCGTGTCTGTGCCCTGCTTTGCTGGTGCCCTCCCCTCCTGCAGTCTAACAGGGCAGGGACTCCTGAACCAGCCTAGTGGGCTGTCCCCAGGGGACCAGGAGGCCTTGGAAGCTGGCCCTGGAGGGTCCCAGCACCTTGGGGACGCTGGTCGATGGCCCTGGGATCACCACGCCTAGGCAGGTGCATGCAGGTGCTCGGGGAACGCCAGGAGAAAGGCTCAGGCAGGCACGTGGCCACCAGGTGGCGCCACCTGCCCCACGTGGCTCCCTGGCAGGCACGCCCGGCCGCCAGCCCGCGGCTTCCAGGCGGGGTGCCCTGGTGCCCGGGCAGCGCAGACACCGAGAGGCAGCACCAGGCCCGAGAGGCTGCCTGGTTTCCCGCCCACCGCAGGGGCGCTCGGCCCGCCTGCCTGGACAGCCTCACAGCGGCCACGCCCGGGGAGGCGGCAGTGGTTCCCGGTGTCCAGCTGTGGTTGTTTGCCTGCTGTGGCCAAGCCAGGAACCCTCCTGGGGGCTAACGCTGTTCTTCCCGGGAAAGGGGGACAGGTGTCCTTCCCAGCTCACGCCCCTGGCCAGCCACCCCTGCTGCAGGCCCCGCGGCTCCCCGAATCCAGCCGCCTCTCCCCTCCCACTCCTGCGGCCACCACGCTTTGCTCTGGCCGTTCCTCCCGCCTAGAATGTCCCTCTGTGTCCCCAGCCTGCTGGCCCTTCAGGGCCTGCGTGCGCCCCACCTCCTCCGGGGCCCCCGTCTCTCCAAGCCCCACGCCTGATGCCCAGTTCCAGCCCGGTTAAGCCCCCGATTCCGAGCCCAGCCCCCTCCCTCGGGCGTCCTTGGGCCCAGGCCTGGCACGGCTTCCGGGCTGGCGGGCTCACTCCCTCCTCGCCCGTCTCGCTGGGACCCTCCGTGCCTCAGTGTGAGCGAGTTTCCGTGGCCCCTTCCTCTGGAAAAGCCGGGCTCCCCCCAGGACTTGGGGCTCAGCATGCTCACCTGATGCCCACGCTTGCTGCGGTCACCACCAGGCCCTGCTGCAGGCACCCAGGGGACAGCTCTGCCTCTGGGGACAGGGACGCTCCCCGTGGGGCCGGGGTGTGGGAGGGGGCCTCGGGGAGCCCCACCTCGGGCGGGCCCGCAGGCCCTCCCTTGGCGAAGTCGTTCCCCCGAGGGCCGGGGCTGGTGTCCGGGCTAGACCCACGTCCGGGACTCTCTCTGGCAGGGGCGTCTTCGGCCCTACTGAGCTCTGTAAGAAGGGCAAGGGGCCTTTCCCGCCGGCCTTTGTTGGGGGGCGCGGCCAGGCTGGCCGGGGTCTGAGTGGGTCAGGCACCCCAGGGCGGTGTTTGGAGGACAGGGCCTGCTGGGGCCGCTGGCTCCTGCACAGCCCAGCACGAGCAGGGGGGACCGAGTGGCAGCTGCAGGGAGCTGCTTGCCCTACCTGCCCGGGCAGTGCTGGGGGCTCTCTCGGGGAACACCTCTGCTCGCGGGGCGCAGAGAACCTCCTCCTCAGGCCTTCCTCGCACCTGTGCCTTGGCCTCCTGCCGGGCCGACCCGTCCCCGAGTGCTCATCCGGCCGCCCACGAGCCAGCGGCTTGGGAGTCCTCACTGCAGTCTGACCTCTTGCTTTAACTGGACCCCGAGCAGGGCCTGTAACCGTAGCTCCCTCCTGCTGCTCTGGTCCAACCGCCCTGGTCACGTCCCTCCCCTGGGCCTTTCGGTGCCAGGGTGTCCCCTACCCCTTATCTGCACCGGCTGGTTGGACGTGGGCAGGTTAATGCTTAACAGGGAACCTGTCCCACCAGGGCCCGGCCACAGGGCCGGCCGGGCAGGACCGCCGGGAGACACTGCCCGGGCTCCGCCATGCTTCCTCGCCCAGCAGGGCACGAGTGGGCCTGTGTGTGCATGTGTGTGCCCGTGCTGGTCACCGGGGGCTCCTTCCGGCGTGTTCCGTGGGCAGGCCCTGCCCTGGCACCGTCGGGGGGCAACAGAGGGCAGGCGGCAGGGGGCCGGCAGGGCCGGCAAGGCACCAGCTTGCAGGAACACGCAGGCTGCAGCTGAGCCACACGCCGTGTGCTCTCCCGCCCGCCGGCTGCGAGGGGCTGTGGGCCTCCCCGGGCTGTGGGCGCCTCCCTGGCGCGACGGTGTCTGGGGCTCCCGGGCAGGAAGGAGAAAACCAAACAGAGCTGGCAGCCCCAGGCCAGCCCCGCGGCCCCCAAGACGGCGGCTTGGCAGCCGCCAGCCCCACAGAGACCCTGGCGGGGCTCCTGGCCGGGAAGCTTCCTCTGGGGCCGCCTGGGGATGTTTGAGGTCGGAACGCACGCCGAGCGCTGGCGGGGGGAGCCGCGAGCTCCTGGCACACAAGCAGGGACGTGCTGGGCCGCCATGTGCCTCCCCGAGCCCCCCTGGCCCCGACGTTGCGCCCGTCTGCCGGGCACCCCCTGGAGCCGGAGCCAGGCACGGCCCAGGAGGGGCCGCCGAGCGGGCACAGCCCTCTACGGTTCCCTGTGTCCCATGCCCGTTCCCCGCGTCAGCCTGTGCCGCCCCCGCTCCTCGAGGCTGTCTTCGTCCTGGGAGGCCGCACCCCACGGCCCGAGCACCCGGGGAGGCTGCACCCCACGGCCCGAGCACTTGGGGAGGCCATGTCCCACAACCTGAGCACTGGGGAGGCCGCACCCCACGATCCGGGCACCTGGGGAGGCTGTACCCCACGACCCGAGCACCTGGGGAGGCTGCGCCCCACGACCCGGGCACCCGGGGAGACTGCACCCCACAACCCGAGTACCTGAAGAGGCTGTACCCCACGACCCGAGCACCTGGGGAGGCTGCGCCCCACAACCCGAGTACCTGAAGAGGCTGTACCCCACGACCCGAGCACCTGGGGAGGCTGCACCCCACAACCCGAGTACCTGAAGAGGCTGTACCCCACGACCCGAGCACCTGGGGAGACTGCGCCCCATAACCCGACCACCTGAAGGCTGTACCCCACGACCCGAGCACCTGGGGAGGCTGCACCCCACAACCCGAGTACCTGAAGAGGCTGTACCCCACGACCCGAGCACCTGGGGAGACTGCGCCCCATAACCCGACCACCTGAAGAGGCAGTACCCCACGACCCAGGCACCCGAAGAGGCTGCGCCCCACGACCTGAGCACTGGGGAGCGAGGCCCTCCGTCCTCCACCCGGCAGTATCTGCCGCGTGTCCACGGCCTCTGGGGCCGTCTGAGTGGTGGCGTGCCCCCCCACCCCCCGTCCCCCGAGTGTCTGGACGGCTTGTCCCCATTCATCATGGCCTTGGCAGCCCGGCCTCCAGTGCCCTGCACCCCACGACCCGGCAGGGCCCCCGCCTGCCCGCTCCATGCCCCTCCGCGTCTCTGGACGCCCGCAGCCCAGGCATCAGCGGACCCTGCTGCCCGTCCTTGCTCCTCGCAGTCTGCACCCCACTAGCCGAGCACGGGGACCTGTGACCACGTGACCATGTGCGGCCCTGACCCCGCGTGTCCAGGTACCCGGGACTTAGGCACGTCCTCTGCCTAAGTCCAGACGTCGTCTGAAACCGGGGTCCCCAGCTTGTGCCCTCTCCTGAGAGCAGGTCACTGCGTGTCAGGGTGTCCCACTCCCCACGCTCCAGGGCCCCGCAGCAGGGCGTACCCCTAGCGGCCTGCACCCCACACCTCACGTAGGCCCTCGTCCCGGGGCGGGGGCCCCCCGGGCGGCCGGTTCCAAGTCCCACCGCGTCTTTGGACGCCCCGAGCCCATTCACCCTTGTCTCGGGGCCCCTGCCCCGGTCACGTGGGGCTCCGGGCAGTCTGCACCCCGCCCGCCCACGCCACGGAGACAGGCCGAGCTTTGTCGCCTGTTCCAGGAACGGCTGCCGCGCAGCCAGCCGGCACATTCCGGGGTTTGGCCCGGAGCCAACGCAAACCCTCGTGTTGCCGGCGCCGGGCTGGGCAGACCCGGGGGCCGGCCGCGGGGAGGGGGTGTGGGGGCACAGTGGGGACCCTCCACGTCAGCGCGTGCCATCAAAGCCCTCCCTGTGCTCACGGCGTCCTAGAGCCGGGGGTGTCGGGGTGCGGGAGCCCAGCGCCCCGCGGAGGCGTGTCCTGGACCGGCCGCAGTGCAGGGTGGGAGGAATGTTCCAGACCCCTCCAGCACTGCCATTTCCTGCCCCGGCCGCCCCAGCCACCCGCCCCTGAGCCCCGGCTGGGAAGGGTGGGCCCCCGGCTGGCAGACCCGGCACCAGCTCGGGGCAGGGTCCGGGCCGGAGCCACGAGAGCCACCCCTGGGTGCCGCAGGCCCTGCCCTCTGCCCTCTGGTGAGACACACAGGACCCCTCGAACAGGCCGGGGGCTTCGGGGACGGCTGAGCTTCCCACACTGGTCCTACAGGCCAGGCTGGACCGGGCCCTGTGGGCACTGGCTCTGCCGTGCACCAGCCCCGCCGTGCGGGGACCCCTTGTGTGGGGACCCTGGGCAAAGGCCATGATGACTCCCAACAGCCCAGTTAAGTGGCCGCTGGGCTCAGAGAACAAGGAAGGCGCCAGGGCGGCCCTCGCCACAGAGGGTCTTCCCCCCGGGTCCACCTCGCCCCAGGCCTGAGCTGCCCAGCCCTGCCCCTGGC